TCCTTTTTATTCGCAAACAGGAATTAAAACGCTACTTTCTCTTAATTTGTTTAGCTACTATTAGTTTTGTTTAAGTTTATCGCTGAATCATCACAAACCATGCATTAGATAATACATTGAATGAAGTACCGACAATTTATACAAAGTGCTTGTTAGAGATGTTATATTTAGGCTTAAATTGTTTATTTGGTGGTTTCAATTTCTAATCAAGAGCTTTTAGTTGAACTTCACAATGGTTCCACCCGAATAAAGTTTCATTAAATTACAGTATTTAGCGGTCAAATGTTCTCTTCCGCTATCGATTACTAAAAGCAAAATTAATGTATTTTTGTTTATCTGTTTACCTCTCATGTTTACTTTGAGTTCGACGAAAGAGATCACGAGGCAGTCCTCTCTTAGTTTTAATTGAGGACTTCCTTTTGACTATAAAGCGACTACGTACGTTGAAGAAAATTTAGACAAACTGGAATTAAAAGGCAGCAGCTGCTTTAGAAAAACCCTGCTTGAGTAAGGCTATTTAAATGACCAGTATATTGACTGTACATGACGAATTTTGGCGTTAAACGGAAAAGAGAACAAAGAAATTATTCTAAATCACCAGGCCAGTGAAATGGGTGTGACACAGATTGAATCAAGTCGACATGCTTGTGTGTTTCTGCGTTCGATCCAAATTCTTGGCAATTTTATCTCGCAACGGCATCATAACATTAACAACTTCAATTCAACGGAAATAGGAGAAAAATAAATTTGCATGCTTTACCGACTATCTAAAGGACACCATGAAGCAAAGGTAGTTCTGATTTACGTTTTTCGCAACAGATGTTGCATCGCTCCCTCTTTAACTAAAAGCCATTTTATGCTCTAAAGAACCCAATTCAATGAGAGGAAACAATTAATTCTCGATAAGAAAGCTTCTTTCAACCACGAACTTGGCTAAAATATAGCAAATACGAAATAAGACCGAAATCAATGCACTGAACGAACGAAAGTAAAAAAAAAACAACAATCTTGTCCAGAAAAAATTATATGATGTTGGATAGTTGCTATTTTTCAGTAGCTGAGAAATTTTAAGGATACTTAAATTGTTGGAAGCTCGAAGTGGTAGTAACTAGTCACAAGGAAGACTACAATTTATGTAGAATATTACATCCATCAGTACTGCAGAAAAGTGGACACTGTACTTACATTTTAGGCTTCGCGTCTTCTTTCCGACCCCTGCAAAAGTTGGGTTTAAGTCCTGCTTCAATGGGAACTCCTTTTATACGAAGCATTATGTCATAGAAAAACTAATCATAGATGAATCAATGAAAGGAATCCACGGAAAGTTTCAAACACTATGCAACTGTTTGTGTGAAATATTCAGTTGATTGCCAGTGAATGACAGAATACAGTCAAGTCTAAAATGGTATAATCTATTAATTCATTAGATGTGCACCACATTTAGCCACGCCCTTTTGAAAAAGAAAGTTCTATTATTCGGTTAATTGTCAATTGTCTTCCACCCAGGCTAAAAAGACGATAAGGGATTTTTCTTAAATTTGCTTCGCGTCATATTTATGTAACATCTTTTGACGGGGTATAATTTAAAAATTTCTTAAGCAGATGTTGAGTACTCTTAGAGCGAGCCGTTATTCGCAAACAGTGCCTGTATATGAGATGGGAAACCTAGCAGGTTCTCCTAGCTACAGTAACTGACTTGTTTTCTATTGATCTTGAGAAATTAAGATGGGGGGCGGGGGGGGGGGGNACACTTCGAAAACGTAAGAGTTCGTATGGAATTTAGATGTGCGACTTTCGGGCGATAAAATAGTGTCAACATCGCCGATGAAGTTCCCTTTCTCTAGCTAAGTTGAATTTCTAGTTACTCCCTATAATACGGGGAGGCTTCGCCCGAAAGAGTACCTTTTTAAGTCTTCAGGTGTATAAAAGGGTAGGGATTTCACAAGTTAGGTATATGAAAAGTGGTGAAATCAGTAATTTAGTCACTTTAAAGGGCCTTTAACTAAAATATTTCCAACAGACGTACCTCATGGCTGTCTCATTTCATTTGTTAGGCACTATGTAAAAATGACAAGAAGAATTCCTTTTTTGGCGATATAATACGGGCCAGTTATGAAAGTATGCGAAAGGGGAACCTTTTTCCAATTAAAGGCATACGAAAGGGGTACTTTTTCTGTCAAAATGGTGTACAAAAGGTTAAGGGGTTGGACCTCGGGGCTCAGCCTCCCCTATGGAACTTTGTAGAGTAGCCCCCCCGGGCCCATAGGTGACATTAAAAGACCCATGTCAAGTAAAAACCACCTTGTACTGAATGATAAGCAGTATAACATACACATATACCTAGAAATACTGCTCAATATCTATCATCCAAGGGTTTAGTAAGCTTCCTACTAATTATCTCAAGCTTCAAGCAAGCTGTTATGTCTCTTCATATAATCCAACACTGTTGACAAGTTGCGACTAAAAGCAATTTAAAACAAAACCTTTTGAACATAAACAGTTATAATTATGTTGAATTTGACCACCCGGGTTAAAGGTGAACAATTCTGCGAATGTGCAGAATTTTTCCCTTTATTTTGACTTCATTTATTTCGTAATTACTCGGGGTAAAGAAAACATTGTCTACAGCCACCATGAGTAAGCATATCACATGAACAATTGTTTCAGAAGCGGAGCTTTCACAAAATTACTAAGGGAGGAGCCGAACATGGAAGAATTGAGAAACAGTGGCTCCATGACTAAGCATATCAGATGAACAAATGTTTCAGAAGAGTAGCTTCTACAAAATTACTAAGGGAGGAGCCGAACATGGAAGAATTGAGAAACAGCCAGGTGCTTTCAACCCTCGCGTTTTTAAATCACATGAAGACGTTTCGTAACCCGAAATACATTTTTCCCTCCCATATTAACATCAGTTTTTATTTAGTCTGATAACTCACAAATGAAACAACCATTTTCTGCTCGCAGTTAAGTGCTACCAAGACGGTATCAAACAATAACCCTGGTTATCACAGATGAAGAGCTTTTTACTGAGAGAATTTCAGCTAGCCCTCACGCGCCCTTGAACTTGGGCGGAGGCTGTTATGAATTGGACACTTCTTTCCTGAACGTGGAGGTTCGCACAGTCGATCGAAGTTTTCAGCAAACCGGAAGATGTTCTAACGACATGATAGTATATAAAGTGCCTTGATTATTTTGCGTCCCAAATTCCTCCGGTCTGTGAACACGATGGGATAAAAACATCAGCGGGATATTCAGCTACTGAAAAATGTCTTCCAGGTCATTTCAAACAAAATTATTATTGGTATCAAAAATTCGGTGCTGGGAGCGTAAGTCGAACACAGTCAACCGAATTCGTCAAATGAAGCCTATAGAAGAGTAATTGCGTAGCAGCTAGTCTTAGAAGACAAGGTTTCAACTTCCAGAAACAAATTAAAGTACAGTAAACAAAGCTTTTTGTGAGTGCCATTAGGCGCCATTTACCATCAAGTCATTTACAAATTCCGCGCTCCGAGCAGGCAAAGCAATTATAAAATTATGAACTGTGAAGCAAACGTCAAAC